TGTGCTGCAGCTCTGCAGGCCTATTTCATAGCCTTGGAGAGTCCTGGCTGTGCCACCTCCCTTGCCTTTGGCCTGAAAGTCTTAATTGACAGCCTGGCACAATAGCTCCTTGCAGCCTGCAGGGCAAGGACAGATGAAGGGGAAGGTAGATAATCTGAGGCGTCAGGGGGACTTCAAGTCATTTTGTTCCTACCTTCCTGCTCTTCTGTGCATGGGACTGAGCCTCCTGGCTGAGTGTGGGGACAAATCTCTGCCTGGAGCCCTGGCATTCTGATGGATGAAAGGGCAGGGCATTTTCCTCTCTGGTGCCTCAGCTTTTTTTCTGGGGCTAGCTGGGAGGGCTTGCAAGGCTGATGCCATATGGCAGTTCCACTTCCTCAGCAATAGAGGTGGATTTTTGCAAATTGGAGAGCCAGCCCAAGCCACCGTCCAGCTGTCTTCTGTGCCTGGCTTTCTCCCTTCAAGGTGAAGATTTGACTTTCTGCCTCTAGCCAAATTCCACAGGCTAAACCTTTCATCCTTAAAAAGCAGAAACTGGGAGTTTCACCTGTCAGAACTCAAACATCTTGCTATTGGGCTCACCAGGAGAGCCACAGCGCAGGAAGGATCAGAGGGTGCAAAGACGAGCAAGGCAGGTGGGGGAGACCCTGTGAGCCGTGAGGCCGTGGGGCTTTCTGTTCCCTGCTGCTGCCGTCTTATGGTGCTTGTGCCCCATTACTCCGTGTCATCGAGTTTCTTTTGAACTGGGAAACATGTTGGAGCTATCTTTCTTAAAGTATAGCCCAGGTCCCATTGGAAAAATCACACGGGAACCTTAAAAAATGTCAGGTTCCAAATCAAAATCACAATGAGATATCACTTCACAGACCTTACGGTGGCTACTATCAAAAAACCAGAAAACAAGGTGTTGGTGAGGATGTGGAGAAATTGAAAACGTTGTGCCTCTTGGTGGGAATGTAAAATGGTGCAGCCACAGTGGAAAACAGTACAGAGGTTCCTCAAAAAAAATTAGAAGTAGAATTACCATATGATTCAGTGATCTCACTTCTGGATATTTACCTAAAAGAACTGAAAGCTGAATCTCCAAGAGATACTTGTACACCCACATTCATTGCAGCATTATTTACAGTAACTAAGAGGCAGAAGCAACCCAAATATCCATGGTTGGATGAATGGACAGAGAAAATGTGGCACATAAATATAATTTCTTGCACCCTTAAAACAAAGAAGTAAATTCTGTCACATGCTACAGCATGGATGAACTTCAAGGACATTATGCTAAGGGGAATAAGCCAGTCACAAAAGGACAAATACTTATGTTTCCCCTCATATGAAGTACCTGAAGTAGTCAAAATTACAGAAACAGAAAACAGGTAGCTGCCAAGGGCTGGGGGAAGTTGGGGAAAATTAATGTTTAATGGATATAGTGTTTGATTTTTGCAAGGTGAGGAAGTAATAATCTATTATACAATAATGTAAATATACTTAGCACTGCTCATCTGTACACTTAAAATAGTTAAAATGGAAAATTTAATGTTATGTGTTTTTTTTTAAACCACAATTTTTAAAAAAGGAGGGGAGCTCCTTCCATTTGGAAATGAAAAAAAAAAAAAGGCAGGTTCCTGGGCTTTGCCAGACTCCGCAAATCATAATCCCTACCGAAGAGGCTCAGGGAGCTACCTTTTCTTTTTTTCCCCTCTTTTTTGTGGGAAGGTGCTTTTTAACTAAGTCCTCAGGTAATTCTTAAGCCCAATAATATTTCTCATCTTAGATATCACGATAAAGAAAACAGGCTTTGAAACCAAAGTACCTGGCAACCCAAGTGGCCCTAGGAAACCAACGTGCCCTCCCTGTGCCTTAGCTTTCTCCTCCATGTAATGGAAATGATAAGTCCAAGTACAGAGAGGACTGTTGTGAGGATTACAGAAGTTAACGATCCCAAGCACTTGATCCATGTATATATTATGATTATCAAACTCAAGAATCTCCTCTGGCCCAAGTGGAACTGAGGCCCAGAGAGGGGGCTGCCATGTCTGTGCCTACTCCTCAGTTGCTGCCAGAGCCAGGAGGAGGACCCTGCTCCCAGGCCACTATGCCTGGTTCACCCCATGTGCTGACCTGTGGCTCAGTCTCTGAGGGCCTGACCAGGAGACCAGATCACCACACAAACAGACTGGAGAGGAATTGAACCCTTCCCTGAACTTGCCTGCCTTTCCCCAAGACGTCTCCAAAGTAACTCTGCATTATTCCATTTCCCTGGCAGAGAGCTAGGGCTTGCTTTGGGCAAGGTGCAGACACTGGGTGTGGGCTGAGGATGCGCGTGTGTATTGACTGGAAGCTCTTGTCCATTAGTATCAACCCCAGGCCTTTGGGTGCCTGATCTTCTTGGCTTCTGGGGCTGGACAGCACTGTCCCAGAAGCATATGGAACACAGGCTTCTGTGAGGCTCCCTGGCCCTGTGGAATGACTATACAGGCAAATGCCTGATGGCAGCCTGCAGGCAGTTGGGTATAACACTAAGGACAGTAACAGATAAAGGGGGCTGCCTGTTTGCTGTGTGCCTACTTTTGTTATGGTTATGATCCCATTTTACAGATGAAACAGGGACACAACTTAAGTCACCCCAAGTCATACAGCTTGAAAGCGAAAAGTAGCCTGGGTGGGTGCCCAGAGACCCAGATTTGGGTCCCATCTCTGCTCTGTGTAGGGGACAGTAGGGTCTGTTGGAAAGGCCCATGTCCAAATTCCAGTTTTGTTATTCACCAGCTGTATGGCCCTGGGAATGTCACTTAGTTTCTGTAAGTCTCAGCTTCTCCATCTGTCACATGGACATAATGACCTGCCTTGTAAGGCTGACACAAGAGCTAGGGTCTGGCTGAAGGCATTCCTTTCCAATTGCTGCTAAGTCACCACAAATTCAGTGGCTTAAAAAATACACATTTACTCTTTTATACCTCTGGAGGCAAGAAGTCCTAAATGAGTCCAATGGGGCCAAACTCAAGGTGTCAGCAGTGCTGGTTTCTTCTGGAGACTCCAGGGGAGAAGCTATTCTTTACCTCTCCCAGCTTCCAGAGGCTGCCTGCATTCCTTGGCCACAGGCACATCGCTCCAGTCCCTGCTTCTGTCATCACATTGCTTTCTTCTCTTCTGCAGTCAGAAGACTCTCCCTCTTACAAGGACAACTGTAGTTACATTGGGCCCACTTGGATAGTCTGGGACAATCTCTCCATCTCAAGGTCCTTAATTTAATAACTTCTGGAAAGTCCCATTTGTGGTTCCATGTAAGGCAACATTCACAGGTTCTGGGGATTTGTATGTAGACATCTTTGGTGGTGGTGAGGGGGCAATTATTTAGCTTACACACAGGGACCAGCAAAAATGAAGGTGAGATGGGTGGTCATTATTATACTCTGGTCTTAGGTCATTAGCAACTACCTGTGTTGATCCTGCACAAGGCATTTTTCTTTCCCAAGTCTCAGCATCCTCACATGTAAAACAAGTCTAACAATAGGAGCTGTAAAACCAGGAGTTGCATTCAGAGGTGAAAATGGCCAGCCAGTATTTGTTGCATGAATTTGCTGAGTGATGCACAGACACTGAGATCCCTATCTCCTTTTTGGAGAGCTCGGTGCAGGTAGGAGAGTGGGAAGGCCTTGCCAGGGAGGCCCACCACTAGGACCGAGGAATGGGGAGGGCCCAGAGGCATGCCTAGCCCCTCAGTGTCTGGGGGATCAGGGCTCAGTCCACAGATCTGGTTGTCTTCTTTGGGGCCAGGTGCTGGCCAACTCTGAGGCTTGGAGGCTTGGGGTGTTGGGATGTGTTGTAATTTGGATGAAGGTTCCAACTTGGGAAGATGGGACGGTGACTCCACCTCCTGTCAACACTTGCTTTTCTTCTTCATTGAAGTTCAGTGCCTGTGGGCAGGGTGTGCTTGGGGCTGGACCTGGGGCCCTCAGCACCTGCCTTGGCCTGCTCTACCACAGGTGGGGCCAAGGGGACAGAATGGGATGAGGGGGACCGATGGGACTCAGCACCTCTGTGGCCTGCCCAGCTGTCCTCCCTTCGGGCTACTGCAGATTCAGCTGTCTGGAACAGGAACCCAGGGCCAGAGAGGAATGAGAAAAAGGCTGGGGCCTCTCACCTTCTACAGGAAGTGCCAAATGCCCATTCCCAGTAAAGATCCAGATTTTTTAGGTGAAAAATCTGTCCCTTCAGGAGATGGACGGGCCTACACAAATAGCAGAGTAATCTCCCACTGTTTGTGAAGCGCCCACTGTGGGCTCACATTAGTAATGGTCAATTCTGACAACACAGCAAAGTGACCACTGCTTGCTCCATTTTTCAGATGCGTAAGCTGAGCCCAGGAGTTCAGCCTGTGTCCAGGCTCACTCTCACACAGCCAGCAAGTAGTAGAGCCAGGATGAAGGCTCAGGACCACCTGAGCCCATGGCTGTGCAGGATGCCCCTGGCCAGGCAAGGTGGCCTCAGAGAGGTAAGAAAAGGGGTTTCACAATAAAGAGATTCAATGCAATCCCTATTAAGACTCCAACAGCCTTTTTTAAAGAAATAGAAAAAATCATCATAAAATTCATATGGAAGCTTAAGTGACCTTGAATAGACAAAATAATCTTGAAAAAGAACAAAGTTGGAGATTTCATACTTCTTGATCTCAAAGCATGCTTTGAAATCATACTATAAAGCATCAGTAATCAAGATGGTTGATTTTTGTAAGGCAATATTCACAGGTTCTGGGGATTTGTATGTAGACATCTTTGGTGGTGGTGAGGGGGCAATTATTTAGCTTACCACACAGGGACCAGCAAAAATGAAGGTGAGATGGGTGGTCATTATTATACTCTGGTCTTAGGTCAATAGCAACTACCTGTGTTGATCCTGCGCAAGACGTGTTTCTTTCCCAAGTCTCAGCCCCCACTGTGATGGTATAAAGACAGACATACAGGCCAATGAAGCAGAATAGAGCCCAGAAATTAACTCATATGTATATGGCCAAATGATTTTTGACAAGGGTACCAAGTTACACAATGGGGAAGGGCAGTTTCTTCAACAAATGATGTTGGAAAAATTGGATATCCACATGTAAAAGTGTCAAGTTAGATCCCTACCTAGTCCCGTGTACAAAAATCAACTCAAAATGGATCAGAGATCAAAGCATAAAAGCTAAAACTATAAAACTCTTAGAAGAAAATATAGGGGAAAATCTTCATGACATTGGACTTGGCAATTACTTCTTGGATATGACACCTAAAAGAAAAAATAGATAAATTGGACTTCATCAAAATTAAAAACTTGTGCACTATCAATAGAGTAGGGGAAAATTTTGACCACACTGTTTGCAATTTTTTAACTGATATATAATTCACATAATACAACAAATTATGTGAGATAATTCACATTACATAAAATTCGCCATTTTAAAGCATACGATTTAATAGCATTTAGTACATTCAAAATGTTGTGCACCTCACCACTACCTAATTCCAGAACATTTCCCCAAAAAGAAATCCCACACTCATTAGCAGTCACTTCCCCATTCACCCCTCTTCTCATTCCCTGGCAACTACTAATTTACTTTGTGTTTCTATAGATCTGCCTATTGACCTCACTTTTTAATTTAAAATTTTAATCGGATCTATTTACCTTATCAATTTTGGGTGCCTGATCTTCTGGACTGAATGATATTAAAACAAGATAAGTCCTTAAGGAATTTTCTTAAGCATGCAATAAAATTATTTTTATTTTTATTTTTACCCTGCTGAGATTATTGTCATTGGGATCAATTCTTTTCTAATAATTAAAAAAAATCCCATGCGACTTACTGATTTCTTTTTTTTTTTTGGTGATGGGAGAGCACATACCAAGTTTTACTGGGTAGAGCTCCTGCAGTTATAAATTTTCTTTGTGGCCACATTTCTACCAAGTATAATATCACTCATCAAATATTGCAGATGTGGATTTTGTCAAGAAGTTCTGATTCTTAGAGTCATTGTTATGTTGTTTTGATGATTTCTTAGGATTATTCATTGACCTCCCCTGTAAAGACTATGCTTTGTTACTCTCTAACTCTCAAGTCTCATGTTATTCTTCATAGCACTATCACCACCTGGTATTAGTTTATATTTCTTTCTTTATTTGCCTATCATCTGTCTTACCACCAAGCTGAGAGCACATAAAGGCAGGGATATTGCTTGTCTTGTACACATGGCTGTATTCCCAATGCTCAGAACAGTGCCCAGGACAGAGTTGGCCCTTGATACATGGAAGGAGTGAAGAAATGAAGTATGGCTTGGATAGTATTTGACTCACTGATGCTGTAAAGTGGTGACTTAGGGTATAGGGACAGCAGGGCCCACTGTCAGCATGACTAGAAATGGTGCTGATGGTACCACCCTGACCATCAGGGCAAAAGGAGAGACCAAGAGACAAGGAGGTGGAGCTTTGACCACATTTGAGCCTGAATTTCATGGTGGCTCTTGTTGGGAGCTGTCACCAAGGAGCCTGGCCAGGGTCTCTGCCCTCTCTGCCTCCATTCAGAACCGTAGGCAAGCACGGGGCCCCATGATGAGTAGCCTCACTTCAAGGCCTCCATTCTGGTTACCTGCTGCTGCATAACAAACCACCCAAAGCTTACTGGTTTCAAACAACAATGTATTATTATCTCTCCTGTGTCTGTGTATTGACTTGGCTGAGCCGGGCAGTTTTCTCACTTGAGGTCTCTTGTGTGTTTGCAGTCAGATTGCTGCCGGACCTGGAGTCATCTGCAGGCCTGACTGGTCTGAAGGTCTAGGATGGCTCCTTCTCTCATGGCTGCTGGCTAGGTTGTCAACCAGAGCACGACGTGTAGCAGGAAGCAGAAGATGCAGGTTACATAGCACTTCTGGAAACTAGCAGAGCATTACTTCTGCCACATTCTGTCTGTCAGAGTAGTCACCGGGCACCCAGATTGAAGGCAGGTGGAGAAGCAGACACCACCTCTGGAAGGGGAATCACTAACCCTCTATTAACCTGACTACACTTTCCAGATCCTTGGATCCTGCCAGAAGTACCCCCTGCATTTACAAGCAAACTTAGATATATATTCTAACACCACCATTTAAAAATATGTAGACACATGACCATAACCATACTCACAGTTTTGCACCTTGCTTTTCTCCCTGGATGTAGGTATCTGGTTTCTTGTCAGAACATTAAGAGCCACCTCACTCTCTTTATCAGCTGCATAATATTCCACCAGGGAAACCCATTGGGTCATCTTTATAAATATACTCTGTCACAGCATGTGAATGCATTGGGGTGAGGTTCTGCCAAGAAAAGCTTTCCCACTTTTGCAGATCACGCTTGACTCTTCAAAGAGCTTTCATGCCCATGCCCCTCACAATACCTGTGAGGGACGTGGGGTCTATTTCTCCACCTGCTGCACATGAGAGGCAGTACAGTGGCGTGGGGCCAGACCAGCTGGGCTGCATCCAAACACCACTGCTTCCTTCCTGTGACTTGGGCAAGCTATTTCACCTCTCTGTGCCTCAGTCTCCTCACTTGTAAAATGGGGGGATGATGATAATGCCTGCTTCACAGCTTCAGTGTGAGGAACTAAGTGAGGAATTGGCTGTGAAGCATGGGCAATAGCATCAAGGACAGAGCAAGTCCATGTGAAGGGTTCTTATTATTATTACTCCCCCAGTGTTTTTATTTTTATCTTTAAAATTGGTAATTTAATTTATTGACTAGGTGATACATTTAAATGATTCAAACATCCAAAAGGAATATGAGGGTCCACAGAGCGGAGTCCCCTGCCTGGTATCCAGCCACCTTCTCTTCCCAGGAGGTAACCACTCTTCCCAGGCCCTTGTGTCCTGCCAGAAGTACTCCCTGCATTTACAAGCAAACTTGGATATACATTCTTCCACCACTACTTTAAAAAAAAATACACACAGTAGCAACTATACTCACAGCTTTGCACCTTGCTTTTCTCCCTGAAAGTAGGTATCTGGTGATTGTTTCCTATCAGAATATTAAGAGTTGCCTAATTCTCTTTTACCAGCTGCATAATATTCCATTGCATTGCTGTGCCATGATGTTCTAATAAGCCCCTCACAGAGGGACACTTCAGTGGTTTGCAGCTTTCAGCTCTAGTACACTAATTTGTGATCCATCCCCATTGCATTGGTGAGGAAACCAAGACCTGAGAGGCAGATTGTCCACCTCAGACCACCTGGTCAGTTGGTGGCAGAACCGTGATCAGATTGCAGTCTCCCTGCCTGACACCCAATGATGTCAGCCATCTCACCTTCGCATGGGCCTCCTGGCTCTGGGATGGGGTAGCCAGCAGGAAAGGGGACAGGTGGCTGGAGGGTGAGGGTGATGAACAGGTGCATCTGCTAGTGTTATTGTTTTCCCTCCTTGGCCTGACCCTTGGCTGCATGATGAAGAAGAACCAGTTGGATGGAGGACCCCAGGTTCTCAGACAGAAGAGAGGCAAGGCAGAGACCATGGGATGGAGGGGGAGTTCTGTCACAGTGAGCCTCAAGGCAGTGCCTTTGCAAACCTCATTTTCTCCTTCAGGTGGGATTTGCTTTGGAGGAAGCAGAAGCTGAAACACAGTTCAGGATTGGTGAGGGTCAACTGCATAATTCAGATCTGAGATGGAGACCCAGGCTCACGGGATTCTTGGGCAAGTCATCCAGTCTCTCTGGGCCTGGATGGTGGGAGCCTGATCTAATGGGGACTCTCCAGTCACAAGATCCAGATTCTGGAGCCACCAGGGTTAGATTCCAAAGCCAACCCAATTGATGCTCCCTTGAAAAGTCTCATTTCCTCATTTTAAAAAGTAGGAATCAAAATAATACTGGGTGTGAGAAGAGTCAAATGAAACAATGTATGTGAATGTCCTTGGAAAACTAAAAAATCAGCACACCACACAGATTTCCCTCCCCTAGGGATTAATTTTAAGGCTGACATTACAAATGGTAACTCTGCTTACCATCACATCTTCAACAAAAGGACTATTATTAGTGAGCCACAGAAATTAAAAACCAAAACCAGAATCAGAACCAAAACCAAAATCAAAACACAAAATCTTTCTTTGATTTTGAACTTGACACCCAGCGTCAGTTTAGATAAGTCTGCCTGCATTTAAGGTATAATTCCACTAGGTGGCGATGGTGTTCAGGCCACTGAGGTCTGTTACAGAGGCGGTAACACCAAGAACTTTCTCAAATGTCCTCCCTTTTTATATTTTGAGAGGCCTCATAAGAGGACCCACTGAGACTGTTTCCTCATCTGTAAAATGGGGTAATAGTACTAAATGATGTAAAATCCTCCTGTTGTCACAGTAAGACCCTCAGTAAATGTTTGCTTCTTTCCTCGCTGAGTGGTTGAGAACCTTGCTTTTAGAACCAGACTATCCGGCTTTGAAGAATCCCAGCTCCACTACTTACCAGCTGTATGACCTTGGCCTAGTTACTTAACCTTTCTGGGCCTTAGTTTTCCTGTCTGCAAATGGGGCTAGTAATTGTACCTCCACCCATAGTTTACATGTGTAAAGTGCTTAGAAAGTGCCTGGTCCAAGAAAAGAGCTCTGAGTTTGCTATTGTCTATATATGACTCTCTCTCAAGCATAATCTGGGTCCTAACTCTGGGCGCCTCCCGATATGGAGTGCCTTGTTAAAATGATATGTCTTCAGGGCATTTTTAACCCCTTTTGCATGAGTCACGACAGTGCAGTCACAATTTCAAGACTCCCAACACTCTGGTCTTTGGATTCAGGGCACAGCTGGCAACAGCCTCTGTCTACCAGGCAGGTGATGGAAACCAATTTGCAAGTGCAAAGCCAGCTGGTGGAAAGATAAGGAGAGGGCAGAACGGGCTGCGAGGCTGCTTTTAAAGTACCTTTGTCCCTTGGAGGTGTCCTGCTCACCTCCTTGCATGGTGCTGGGAGGCAGCTCAGCCAATAAAACACCATGGGGCTACAGGGCCAATTGCTTTCCCGCTCTGTCCTGCCTGCTCTCCATGCAGGTTTGCGGGGGAGGTAGAGGAATCTGGTGACGACAGCACCTGACCAGAAGTCAGGAAATCTGTTTTTAACCCACCTCTATCGCAGATGTGCTGTATGACCTTGACGGGTCTCTTTTCCTCTCTGGGCTTCAGAGTCCTGCCTACCAAAATTGGGACACCACACTGTCCTTCTTTTCCAACCAGAGATGGGGTGAGAATAGATAAACTCAACACCTCACCTTTTCCTTGAAGCCTCCTATATTGGGTTGGAACAACAGGGAATTCAAATCCTTCCCTACCCCCCTCCACTTCTCCCTGGCTAAACACATGATAATTAATCACCTCTCCATTATTCGCTCTCTGATTGATTCCACATGCTTTCTCTGTCCTTCTGTCTACATGTCCTTTTTGTCTTGTCTGCATTGGAAACTCATCTGGGGAGGTCTGTGCCTGCCTCCTTGCTCTGTATGGCATGGAAAAAGACTAGTGGAGAAGGCTTCTGACTGAGGGAAGGAAGGTTCCTCCGAATCTCAGATGGGCCAGAACTTAATGGGACTGAGAAAAGTGAATCAGGCAGACAAGAGATGTGAAAAGCACCTTGAAGAGTGGAACGCACTGTGCAGAAGGCAGAATGTCTTATTCTCCGGACAGGGACACAAAAGAGCAGGAGAGGGAGAGGGAGAGGGATATGGGGGAGTTCAGATTTGATGAACATATATTTTGCAATCAGAAAATCTAGATGGAAGCTAGCTCAATTTTAGGAAGCATGGAGGTTCAATTTCCCAAGTAACATTTTCTTTTGGATTACACACAGGCAGGGGTGTGTGCCTCTGTGTGTGTGTGTGTGTTTTCCACTCATTTTTTTAAGGAGGGGGCTGCCTATCTATACCATAATGCAATGTCAGGCACACCTCAACTTCAAATGGCATAAGCCCAGCTTGTCTGCTCCCTTACTCCCTCTCCCCAACACCCTACCCTCTCCCTCTATCATCTCCTGATCAGGTCTATTCCTCCATGACCCTCCCCATAACTTCCCCAAGTGGCTCTAGCTTCTGTGCACCTCCAGCCTCCAGCCTCCTAGCCCTCTGAATTATGACCCCACCCTGTGAATGCCTGAATGCTTCCCATTCTCGTCATCCTCCACCAAATGCCTGACTACCAAGGGAGACTGAGTCCTGTGCTCTGCGTTTCACTGCCTTTTCAAAACTTACCAGTCCTGGGCTCCATTCCATTTTCATCAAAGCCCCTGATGACACACTGGGCCAAGTTGATGTATCATAGGAGAGGGGCGCATAGTAGTCTACCCACCCCTCTTGGGAAAGTTGCCTCTTCACATTAAGAAACTCTATCAGGGGAATTTCACAGCACTGTGGTAGATCACAAGGGGAGAGATTTGGGGGTACACGAAGTCAATGATAATAACAGATACTATTTATTGCTGCAGGCACTATGCTAGGTATTTACTTCCTTTGTCTAGTTCCAACAACCGGATGAGGCAAGTGTAATCATCATTATAATAAATACAACAAAATGAGCCAAGTACTTATGTGCTAAGCAGTTCACCTTGATTTGCTTGAATAATACTCACACAACCTGTGTAGTAGGCGGTGTTGCCATGTCCATTTTCCAAATAAGGAAACCCAGGCACAGATCAATGTGTCTTGTCACAGAGCTATTAAGATAAGCAGGCTCGACCTCAGAGAGGTTAAGTAACATGGCCTCTTTACCCGGCAGCTGAGTGAAGTCACTGTTTTTCCTTCCTTATGCTCATCACACCTCCTCCTGGGACAATGGGAAATACCAGGTTGAGCCGAGCGCGTACTTGGCACCAGGAACTTCTGGGATGGGGATGGACACCGCATCCCAGAAACCAGCATTCCTCTTACACGAAGGCTGCCCAGCTATGCTCCAGGACCTGAGCTCCAGCTTGCTGGTCTCTTCCAGGAAACCTTCTCTGCCTCTTGCCCCATCTGGCTCATCAGAGTCCCAGCTATGCTCAGCATCCCCATTGGAATTCTGCCTCCTCCAGAAAACCTTCCTGGATGACGCTAACCCTCTGACCTTCTTGAGAATATTGTCCACTCACTTGGCTGTCCTGTTCATCGCTGGGGTAGGTGCTGCCATCTGGCCTCCCTAACTAGGTGTTGTTGAGCTCCTGTAGGCGCTCACACCTAGCATGCAATCAGTGCTCCGAGAATTCTTCCTGAATGAGTAAATGCTGTACTGGGGTGTTTCTCTGGGCCATAGGGGTCATGAATTTCAGTGTCTCAGCTGAGGGGATGGAGAGGGAGAGCAGGAAATATAAATGTGTGACCAGCCCAGGTGCAAATAATAGGGAGTGGTGAGATCTGTGACAAACTAGATAGAGTCTGCATGCCTACCTGGGGGGCTTATGATCAAATCCAGCTGCCCCCACTCCCCACAAACGGCTGGAATCTAATCTTACCCTGAACACTATCACTTTCTTTCCCTTTTCCTAACTTAATTTTCCTACTTTGTACATACTACTTTAAAAAATACTCTATAAACTATTTATTAGAGTTAACATCTATCTTCCCTCACAAATTTGAACTACGTGAGGGCGGAGATTTGGTCTTTTATAGTCTGCTGTGTAGTCCAACCCCTCATCAGTGCCGGCACTCCCGAGGGCTCTCAGTAAACAGGTCTTGAGTAAATCATCAGCTCCTTGCACATCTCTGCAGCCGAGACAGCTGCTCCAGTGTCCCTGCAGTGTTCAGGCTTCCCAAGCATTTGGGGTTCAAGGCAGGAAGAGTGAAGGCTCTTGGGGTCACAACAAGCACCCCCTTCCCCCAGAAACCCCAAGGAGATGGCCTGGGGTCTGTCTTGGTGACAGCAAGTCCAGCTGGAACTAGGGCACGAGGGTTAGTGACTGCCCCATGGGGTGAACGAGGTACTCCGGGGAAGCTGATGGGGGCTGGGGACTAGAGGAGGGGCCGGCACTCCAGTGCTTAACACCCCCCAACTCCCCTGCCATCCAGGACACTCACCTTATACGCCCTGCACGTACCAGAAGACGCAGGATAGGGGAGGCCGGAAACCCCAGACAGACAGACAGGCCAGAGGAATGTTCAAAAGGTGGGGACGGAATGAAGGGAGAGGAGCGACACCCTGGTACAGAGCGCGCCGCAGGAGGGCTGGGAGGAGGGCGCACCCGGGTGCTTCCTGCGCCCGCCTGCAGCAGAGCCCCTCTGCCCCAGCCCGAAGGACCCTCTGGAGGAGGGTCGCCCGCCAGGGAACTGGGGGAGCTGGGCACCCCCCCTCCCACTCCTGCTAAGCCGGCGGCTGCCTCCTCAGCAGCCGCGGCGCTTCCACCTGCGCAGACACCGCGCCGCCCTGCGCCGAGCTGTCATTGGCTCGCTAAAAATGCCTCTCTAATCTGCGCCCATCTGTGCACGCCTCCTCCCCCCTCCCACCCCCTTCTCGGCTCTGACCTTCCTCCTTCCCGCAACGCAGACACCGCGCCGCCCTGCGCCGAGCTGTCATTGGCTCGCTAAAAATGCCTCTCTAATCTGCGCCCATCTGTGCACGCCTCCTCCCCCCTCCCACCCCCTTCTCGGCTCTGACCTTCCTCCTTCCCGCAGCCCCGGCGAGATCTGGAGAGACGCGGTAGCAACGGCGGCGGCAGCGCAGCCTTCTCTTCCCCCGGGAAGCCGTCCGGGCTTGAGGCCGGGCCCCAGACGCCCTTCATTGCCCGGTGGCACAGCCCCTGGTGTAGGGCACTCCTGCCCCCAGGTAGGGGGTCTGGTCCCTGGATAGAGGGTGGGGAGGGAGGGCGGGATCCGGTTAGGAAGTGCGTGTTTGCGTGGGGCAAGGAGACTGACATCTTCCCCTCCAGAGCGCGTCGGAGAATTGGGCAGTTACCCAGAGAGAGGTGAGCGCGCGGCCGGAGGTGCTTTGAAGCCGGGGTTCACTGGCATCACCCAGGCTGTGCCAGGATGTCCCTGCGCTAGGCCCTCTGGGAGAGGTTGCTGGCGGCAGAGGCCTTCACTCTAGGGAAAACGCAGGAAATATATTTCTTGGGAAGCTGGGACCCAGGCCCCAGGAGTCCGAGTCTCTGGCTTGGGGCTTTCTGGTACCGGCTGGGTGGGTGGACTGGTGCCAGCTTGGTGGGTAAGCTATTTATGGATCAGAGTGGGTTGGGGAGAAACACAGCAGCTGATGTGCCCTATGCCTTGTCTGGTTTACAATGAAAGATATATTTTCTTCCGTTCCCTAGACCTCTTCCCCCACAGCTGTGATGGGAGGTGGGCGAGAAGGAGGTGATGCTAAGTGGTCTGCAGATACAGCACAAGCCAGGTCTGTCTGGCACTGCCTTCCTCCCCACCCCCCAGGCCACTTGCTGCCCGTTGGAACTCTGTCTCCCGCTTGTTTTCGCCTTATAGGAGGGCAAGAAAAGATGGAAAGATGATCAGGGTGTGAGGAACACAGTGGCAAACCCCAGAGTTTGGCCAGCCCCAGTTGCCCCCACCCCCACTACAGCCTAGCTCTGCACCCCACGTGCAGTGACACATGTGGCTGCTTTTCTCTGGCCACAACCAGAAATAACCCACATTGCCCTAGCTCTGGCACAGCCGGGGTGCAAACAGAACTGTCTGTCAATGATTTTGGATGTTTTATAACCCACTCTCCTGGCCTCTCCATCACATATCCAAATCACCACTCACAAGCCACCCCTTCCAGGCAGCTTCCTGATACCTTCCCTCCTTCCAGGCAGCTTCCTGATACCCTAGGTGAGGTCCTTGCCTGCATTATCTGACCTAGTCTGCCTTGTGGTTTGGGTATTTATGTCCTGTCTGTCGGCCTCTAGACCGGAAGTGCATTCAGGGTAGGAATTTGGTCATCTATCATCAACCCTACACCTGACAGGGTCTAGCACTAAGTAAATATTTGAGTGACTGAAAGAATTTGAACTCTGGGAACAAGCTGGAAACCTGAAGGAGGCGGGTGAACCCCTCTTGGGCTTTCTTTCTGTCCCTCAGTGCAAAGAAGCAAGACAAAGACAGTCCCGTTTAGGCCCTTCCTAGACCTGGAACTGACAGGCAGCTATAGCATTTGGAGCTAAAAGCTTCAGTCCCCATGGCTCCAGAGGGTCTTTTGGGGTCTCTGGTTTGAGTACCATGGCTTAGTCCAGGCTTGGTGGAAGGCCCAAGGTCTGGCTTTCGTAAGCCCATGCGTTGGCACTTTGTTCTTGGGGTGCTCAGCTCAGACCAGGGGTCTCTGCCTCTGTCCCAGCCCTTGGAAAAGTCCTAGTCAGCATCAGGGAGTCTGGGAAGGCCCCAGCCAGGCCATCCTCAGCCTTGGGGGCCCTCATAGTTACCTCTGAACAAATCTTATGACTCCATTGCGTGGAGGAACAAACCCCAGGCCAAAAGAAGAAGAGACTGCCACCATGGGTCCTGATGTCTGTGACAGACATGGACATTCACTCTTTCCCAGCCCTAATTGCTCCTTTTGACAGCTATGCTGATAAGACATCTGCAAGATGTTCCTGTGATCCTCTGGCAAAGGGGGAGACTGAGGCACACAGAGGTGAGCAGCCAAGCCAGGGGCATGTCCCAAGTCCCATGCTCTCCCCACTGGGTCGGAGGGAGCTGGGGTCAGGCCCCAGAGCTAAGTCAGAGAGTCTGGTTGGCCTAGAACCCAGAGGCTCCTCCTGTCTGGCTCTGTCCTGGCCCCTAGTAATGGTGAGAATAAGGGAATAAGGGAGAGTGTGTCAGGGGTAGAGGGAAGCCAGCGGAGGTGGTTTAGTTAGTGACTGAAAGTGGTTGGCCCTGGGGGCCCTGAGGGGAGGGTGCAGTACTGACAGGAGAACCAAAGGGACACGCATTTTTCATGTGCCATGTCCTGATTTATTTGTTGTATATTAACTCATTCAGTTCTCACAGTGGCCCAATGAGGTACGTACCATTATTATCCCAGCTGTACAAGTGAGGAGACTGAGACACACAGCAGGTATCTGTCCAAGGCCACACAGTTTGAAAGTGGAGGAGCTGGGATGTGAACTTAGACTCCAGAGTCCATGCTCTTAACCTATGTTCCCTACGGCAAGAGCAAGAGGACTGTGGACGTGGGTGCTATGGGCTTGCTGTCTCCACGGAGAAACAGGTTTTCATACTCCGTGGCTAAAGTTCATGCATGGTAGGTAGTATGTGCATGATGAAGTGTGACTGTGACAGTTGTGGATGCCCAGAATAGCAACACCCCTATCAATGGGTCTCTGAGCAGGATAGTGATGTTATATGATGCACATGAATCTGTCACTCCCTTGTTCTGCATCCTTCAATGGCTCCCCATTGCCCTGAGGACAAAGTGCAGGCTCCCTAATGTGGCTTCAAGCCTGGCTTCCTCCCCTTTCCCTCCCTCCATCCTCCAGCTGCTCTGAACTGCTTTCAGTTCCTCCAGGAAGCCAAGCCTCTCTCACCTGCAGGCCTTTGCACATGCTGGTCCCCTGTGCCTGTAACACTCTCTCTCCTCCCTATATTTATCTTCTCACCCCCTGGGATCCCTGAGACTTTTCTTCCTCCCAGAAGCTTCTGGCTTGGGTTGAGACCCCTGGCCATGAACCCTCTTTCCCATACCCTGCTAACCTCCCCTCACACAGTATCCTCTGGGACTTTGATTGTTGTCTCCCCACCCACACTGGGCTGTGAAGTTGGAGGGGGCAGGGTCTGTGTCCTTTTCCCAGTGTCCCAGGTGCCTGGCATTGAGTAGTCCTACCTAGTTCCTACTGGTAGCATGAATGAAGATTAGTCCCACCATATCCTTCCTTTTCTCACCAATCTCAGGACATACAATCATTCTTCTCCTCCCAGTATGAGATGAGGAAACCATTCATAGATTTGCATAAATCCCCCCAGCCCAACAAGCTGGTGGTAGAAAGCTTTCATTGGAGAAGTAAAACTGCTGTGGGCTTGTCAGGACAAGGGAGAGCATTTGGGGTGAGGGAGGTTGCTGATCTGGGGGGAGTCTTTCTTGGGGAAGCAGGTGGGAGGGTTGGAGGAAGAGCCAGTGTGCCAGGTAGAGGAGGGCTGCCTCATTTTACATTTTTCCTAAAGAAAAAAAGTATTTATTATTTTTTTCTCATTACCAATGTAGTATGTGCTTATGTAAAATTTAGAATGTACTGGAAAACCAAATACGGAAAACCCATTAGCCAGCACCAGACCCACCCTGGGCACTTTGTGGCTGGTTTCCAGCCAGGGAGCTAGAGCTAATGGGCCAGAAAGGGAAGGTAGAGACAGGAGACAGGTGACAGGTGGGGCAGGTCATGGTCCCAGGAAGTGGACGCTCAGATTAGCATGCAGGCAGGGGAGAGGTCCCTGAGCTTCACCTGTAGACAGAAGGTGAAGGAAGTAGGACCGGGGTGGGGTAGGGGAGTGGTGCTCCAACACAAGCCCAACAGGCAACCTCAGGGATCCACAGGGCACTGTGGAGTTCGAGTGGCCTTTTAGAGCAGAATGAGTTTGCAATGGTCAGCATCTGCGAGGCCCTGGGTGTGGCCGGGGCATGCCCTTAGGCTGGTGGCCCTGCAGCACAGCAAGCCCTGAAGGTCATGTGCTGGCAGCACCCTCTGCTGCCAGGGCAACAGATAGTGCCCATGCCCTGAAAGGATGGCAGGGAAGGAACCTGCGGGACCGGCTGAAGGGGGAAGACCAGCAGGATCTTGGTCTGAGCTGGCTCTGAGGGGACAGGAACTCTAATGCTGGGGAAGTTGGTGGGGTAGTCCATCTGGTGGGGAGTATGTCTGTGGGGTTGGGGTAATGCCTCCGGAGACCTCGAGCTTGGGTGTCTGGGGGCAGCAGGATGCCTGATAATAGGGAGGGTAAGGAGGCCTCAGCTACTATTTAAAAATCACTTGATATTAAAAGGCTGAGTAGGGGTTGCAGTAGGCTTACCAGATAAAATCCAGATGCCCGGTTAAATTTGACTTTTGATAAACAACAAATTTGGCCTTTTAATAGTATAAGCATGTTCCAGATATTGCATGGGACATACTTATACTAAAATTTTTATTTGTTCTTTGTCTGAAAGTCAAATTTAAGTAGTCCTGTATTTTTATTTGCTGAATCTGGCCACCCTAGACTGGAGCGTGAAGGGGTAGAGAGGGAGGGAGTGAAGGGGGGTCTTAATTTTCTCTTCTGTAGTTTTGGAAGAGGGATCAATGGATGCTTGTTTGAAGCTGACTTAAAAACTTTAACATGTCCATTTTCAGAAATTAATGTTTCACATTTTGCATCCGGAAACTGTTTCTGTTTACTGTCTAGAAGGTAGCTCC